GTGCTGGGATTACAGATGTAAGCCATGGCGCCTGGCCCTTCCCTACTTTTAATGTATACATTCTGTCATGTTATATATTTTTTCTTGATTTTTTAAAATAAAAGCTGCCTTGTTCCCCACTGAGTTAGTATATTATTAATTTATTTAACTACGTCATGCAGATTACTACTAGACATGCAGATTATTTCTAACTTGGGCACTATAAGAGAGTAATCCTGCAGTGGGGGCAAAACCAGGACCAGCCTAGTCCCCAGAGAGAGGAAGAGGGCACGATCCTAGGCAGGCTGGCCAAGCCCCGGAACAGGGCTCCTGCCTTGAACAGCTGGGCCTCTGGGAGGCGGGATGGTGGAGTCTCTGGACCCAAAAGACCCAGCCAGAAGGTTCTGGGCTGTTAGCAGGTTGCCCTTCGGGGCAGAGTCAATCTGTAGAGAGGTCATCATCTCCAGCTAGTTCAGCTTGAGAGTGTGAGCAGAAGAAAACCATGTTTGTACCACACAAGGGAGTGGGCCAAGAGTCTTTGGTACCTGCCAGGCTGGGCTTTGTTAGTTCCACTGGGGTGGAAGGATGGGGCAGAAAGGTGGAGTTCAGACTAGGGTAGGGAATGGCCACCTACCAAGCCCCTTTCCTCCTTATCAGAATCTTTTCCCTTTTACAGGATGTACTTTTACAAAAATGAGTTAGAGTCAAAGAGTATTTATATGGCTTCTCATTATTCTGATTTAAAAAATTAACGACAAAAAAACCAAAAAGCCCCAAGGCACTAAGGGCAACCATGTGGTCAGGTCGACTTCACAACCCAGTGGTGGACAAGCTGAGCTGTTTCCCAGGTTGAAGTTCGTCCACAGAGTCTCATTTAAACGCTGCAATTTCCCCCTCTCTGTTTGGATGTGATTCAAACTTACTGATGGCACAAAGTTACTGTATTTTATAGCTCTTCAACTATAAAATCAAATTTCAGGAAAGTCCCAGTCTCTGTGGGAACTTTACAAATGATAAAATTTGCTTTTGTCATAAACTCATTTCTAGCCTTGAATTTGCCACCAAAAGCAAGAGACAATAATCCTACCATTTGGCAGGAAAAGTGGTACCTGCCTCTGCCCCATGGCGGGAAGGCCTTGCTCAAAGAATGCTAGGATGTTCAGGTGGCCAGGTCTTAGTGATGCTAACACATTCACTTAGCCAGGAGTATAAAGTGCCTTTAAGGAGATTTGAAACACTCCTCTGATAATTCCTCTACTGTCCTATAAGGCAGCAGTCCTGGGGACTGGCTTTTTGGAAGACAATTTGTCCACAGACCAGGGAAGGCAGGGGGCAGGGGGATAGCTTCAGGATGATTCAAGCACATTACATTTATAATGTACTTCTTTCCCTGTTATTATTACATTATAATACAGAATGAAATAATTATACAACTCACCATAACATAGAATCAGTGAGATCCCTGAGCTTATTTTCCTTCAACTAGACAGTCCCATCTGGGGATGATGGGAGACAGTGAGAGATTATCAGACATTAGATTCTCATAAGGAGCATGCAAACTAGATCCCTCACATGCGCAGTTCACAATAAGGTTCATCCTCCTATGAGAATCTAATGCCACTGCTGATCTGACAGGAGGCGGAGCTCAGGCAGTAATGTGATCAACGGGGAGCAGCAGTAAATACAGATGAAACTAAATACAGTTGAAGGTTCACCCACCACTTCCCTACTGCTTTGCCCACCGTGACCTGCCCACCGCTCACTTCCTGCCGTGTGGCCTGGTTCCTAATAGCAGTTGGGACTCCTGCTGTAAGGAGCTTCTGCCCCTGGCCTGGGCCCTGTGCTACCGTCCTCCTCACCCTCACCTCCTTCAGAAATCCCTTCTCATGGACCCCCCACTTGACTGAGGACCTCCTCAGCACCCATATGTCTAATGTGTAATATGTTAGTAACACGTATTTGTTGCTTTGTGGCTTTGTAAATATCACTCTGTTGTCTTAAGTACTGTGAGGTCCTCATATACAGACTATCTTTTACACCCAAACTGCAATAAAATAATTTTATTTTAGTTTTATTATTATTGCTAAATTCTGCAACATAGGATTGTTGAGGGCTTCCTTAGGAAAGAAGAATTTATTTTACCTGAAACCAGACCAAAAATGCTTCCCTCCCCATTTTCTTTAAGCTCCATGAGGGCAGGGAATTAGTCAGCCTTGTTCAGGGCTGTGTCCCTATTACCTAGGAGGATGTCTCACCACACAGAGTTCCCAGACGGGTTGGCAGCTATTTATGCTGAGGGAACATGTTAAAGTCTGCTGGATACCAGGTGATTTCAGGGCATTTGTGTCCCTCCTTCAGTGGTTCAGCACATGGTAAAAGGTGAGCTAGTTTAGCAGCAACTAGACTTTGCTAACTACAGCAAGCAGGTGGCTGGCTTCTCTCTAAGCCTTCAACTGGCTCTGGCTAGACAGGAGGTGAGCTACGGGAGGAGAAGCCAGAGGGAGGGGTTCACTGAGGAAGTAGGTCTCCAGACTAGCTAGGAGAGATTTACCAGATGCATGAACTCTTGTGTGGCCCCTGCAGAGGCAGACGGGCCTCCCCGGCTCCACCTTGGTGTGACGGGAAGCACTTATACAGCTGCCACCATCCCAGTGCTGAAAGGTGCATCGCCCTCAAGCCTTGGCAGGAAAAAAAAGGTTATACCGGTTTAAAGTAAGGAACTGTGCTCCATTTATTCCACAGATCTGGTTTAAATGTTGAGGGTACCTGAGCCTTGCACCAGCACACACAGGACAACGGTGTCTCTCTGACCTGATGCCAGTACCCATATGCAGGACCACATGATCTTAGTAGCCTGGACAAGTTAGTTGTCTATGCTCCAGAGAATAAAGTTGCAACTTGCTCCTTATTGCATGAAGTTGGTGTGCCAATAGTTAGTTATGTGTATGAAGCCCTCTGAGGTCTCAAGGAAGAGGCTGTGTAGGCTATGTCTGCAAAATTTATGGCACCTCACAGATTTTAGTTTCCTAGTTTCTTGAGCCTTCTTTGCCTTAGTTCAAACACCTTAGTTTGCTGCGTCAATCATGCGCTCTTGCTGACAGCAGATGGCGCTACTGCAGCAAAATGAAATGAAGGGATTGTCATTTTAAGATTTTGTGCAATGAAGAAAAAGAAAACAAAACAAATGTCCTAGCTCTGCTCCCTTGGATCCTGGGGTAGGCCCCTTGCTCATGTCTTTCTTATCCCAGTGACTGGGCCCGATAGGACTTTGGTTAATTCTGGTTACATGTGGCTATGAGCTGGGAGTTGGATATTTCTAGTCACACCAAGATAAAGACACATGTCCTCTCAGCTGACTCCCCAGTGTCCAGAGGAGTGAAGAAAAAGATTCCTGGTAGGAGGATGGGGGACTAGCCTGGTCCTGGAACGGGACAGCTGGAGAGACCACTGAGATCACTAACCCCAGGGACTGCTAAACGTGGCTAAACATCAAAAGTCACCTATGAAATGTATCCAAAATACAGATTTCTGAGGTCCCATGCCTCCAACTTCATGAATCAAAATCTCCAAGGGTGGGGCCCAAGAAACAGAATTTCTTTTTAACATGATCCTCCAAGTGATTCCTTATGAAGTGAGGCAGTCACTAGTTCATTGGACCAGTCTTTGTGATCTGCTGATCAAACCCACCTCCTTCATTTTACAGTGAATGATGATGATGACAATAATGAAAATGAACAGTGGCTTATGTCCTGTGTGCTGGGCACTGTTCTAAACACTTCATATGCATCAACTCATCTAACTTTCAGTGGTGCTATGAGGTAGGTACTGCTTATTATCATCATCCCCATATTGCCGGCAAGGAAAAACAGAACCCAGACCTTGGCCCTGGGACTCAGGAAGGGTTTCATCAGAGATGTTTCTCATGTCTATTGTGGGTACATTTAGATCATCTTTTTCAGCCAGCTTTAAGCCTCATAGGGAGAGGCTGAATCCTGGGCCCATATGTACCTTTTGGGTGTGCTGGCTTTAAATTTCGGTAATATGTATTTTTAGAAATAATATAGATAGCCTCTATCCATCAGAAAGTAACAAGGTATGTTTAAACTGCAGCATGAGATATACAGGTGAGGCAAAAAGAAAAGATTCTTTGAATAACGATAAGGACTGTTTGGCATTAGAGTGGATCAACAGGGAGGTGTTTTTAAACTTTCCCGTGTGTTTCAAATTTTTTCAGAAGATTTTTAATAACTGGTTATACTCATTTGTAATACAAAAGACACCATGAAGAGTACAGAAAAAAATATGAATGTATTTGAAGAGCCTAGAGAGACATGTGTGTATAGTGTGTGTGTGTGAGAACATGTGAGTGTGGTGACTCAAGAGAGACCTGGGACACCAGTGATCTTGAAGGGAATCAGGGCAGATGACCACGCCCTCCTAGGACTCATCCTGTGGGGTATCTACTGGCAAGAGACTAAGGGCTGGGAGAAAGCTTGACCCAGTAGATCAACTCCTTTGTGATGATGCCTGGGATGCCTAAGAGAGATGAATACTTAAAGGTAAGGACACTGATTAAATGATTTCTACAGATGCCATCTGAGACTCAGCTCTTGCAGGAAGGAGGGATCTGGGATCCTAATGCCCAGCTTTCAGATCCCAGCTTGCCAGTCTCCTGTGCTCTTTCATTAACCCACGTTTCTATAAAAACTCCTGAAGCCTGAACAAATTAAGTCACCTGACAGAGATTCCCTAGGGAGACAGCAACTATCAAAGGGTGTTTTGACTTCTCCAATTACAGATCTGATCGCAAAATGCAGCTGGATATCCCAGGCTTAAGGGGTCTGATGGGACAATTCCAATATGTGATACGTAAACAAAACAAGGTGAGTCCAAGACTCAGAAACTTCTACTCAGTTGGCCACAGTGTTCCCCAGTCTTCACAGAACAGTGTGTTGTGCGTTGGGGCATCTCCATAAATAAGGGCTAACTAAAGGTCCTGATGGAAGGCGGAGATGACTCACCTCAGTGCACTGTACCCCTGGCACACACTGACGCAGCACAGGACCTTCTCTTGGTTTGCCTGAGTCTCTCCCAAGTATTTGCACACGATGTTACCACCCAGGCTGAAGCCCACGACGACCAGCTGGGTCAGGGGATATGTCTTCTTGATGTAGTTCACCATGGCTCCAAATTCCCACGTGCAGCCTGTGGGCAAAAGGGTGAGGTTGCTCAATCATTTCAGGTGCATTGTATATGGAGAAAATGCAAGCTGGAACATTACTAAATGGGTGCCAGTACACTAAAAGAGAGAGAAATATGTATATATACGTGTGTGTGTGTGTGTGTGTGTGTGTGTGTGTGTGTGTGTGGAGAGAGAGACAGATAGACACTGCTCTTTGGCTATCCAGAGAGACGTTCCCAGATGCCCCTTGGGATAAGAGGAAACAGGGCCTCAGCAGTGCCCAAGAGTGGAGGTACCATGTATCAAATGTACAATGCTTCTTAAAAAGTAGGTCACAAGAACCTTGTCTAGAAGTTTATGAATATCAAAGCAGATTTCAGGGTGTGCATGAGCACATATGCTCACACACAGACCTAAATAAAAGCTAGGCCTGCCTGGGCAAAATGGTGAGACCCCATCTCTACAAACTACAGGTGTGAGGCAAGAGGATCCCTTGAGTCGGGGAGGCAGAGGCTACAGTGAGCCAAGATCACATCACTGCATTCCAGCCTGGGTGACAGAGTGAGACCCTGTTTCAAAAAAATAAAATAAAATAAAATAAGGTAAATAAATAAATAAATGCAAGAGCAAAATCCTTTAAGATTAGCTTCCTAGGCTACAAATTGGAATGCTATACCCATGTGTTTGATGATGATTCATGGTGTTAAGAAAAGTAGCAAGTGGATGTTATTTACAGGATCTTCTTGACAGACTTGGAAAGGAGAGGAAAGAGAAACTTCAGTCCAGAGGGACTGCCAGGATGCTCTGTAGGATTAGGGTAAAACGTTCTTGGTGACGTAGGAACAGGGTGTCAAGGGGAGGCAGGCTCATTCAAAAATACACAGAGGAGACCTCTGAACAGAGAGGGCGTTTGGGCCTTGTTTGCCCAGGAGGTATGATCTCAGCTGGTGTCCCCTTGGGAAGTTACTGAAGCCATGTTATGTCTCAGCAGCTTTGCTAAGAGGAGGAGGTGAATGGCCATATTACAAGTGAAGGGATTCATCACATCCTTCTGAGGCCCAACCCCAAACTCCTGAGGGAGCCAATTTAAAATCTAACAGGGAAAGTTAGGGATGTCTACACAAAGCATATACAAAATACACTGGCATGAGAAGAGTATGGATTTACAATGGAAACGGGAGTTGTTGACTTTGGCACCAGCTCAGAGGTTTTGGCATTCTTAACAGAGTTGAACAGAGCTCCTTCCCTAGTCATCAAGCCATGGGGGAAACTATCTTTTGAGCCTGGGGTAAACTCCCCTTATATCTGTCTTCCTTTTGTAGTAGGATGTAGCCTAAGCCAGGCCGGCACAACCCCATGCAGTTCTTAAGCTGCAGTGTGCATAGAATCACTTGGAGAGGGTGTTAGAAATGAGCACTCCTGGGCCTAAACTCCAGAGAAGCTGATTCTGTAAGAAGGGGGCCAAGCCCAGGAATCTACACCAAATTTGTTTTTGAGTAGGTAATTCATGCCCATGGTAGAAAATTCAAATGCTGTAAAAGGTGGAGTGAAAGGTACGTTTCCTATATTCTTTTTAAAAATACCACTGGTAACATACACATTGTTTGGTGCCTCATTTTTTCCCTTTACAATATGTCTTGCAATATTATGCATCAATACACTTGAAACTGCCCTATTCTTTATTTTTAATGGGGAATAACATACATACAGGAAAACGAATAATCCATGAAGTTTTACACATTTACACCCACATAAGCATAGCCCAGATGAAGACGCAGAATATTTCTGACACCCCTGGAGGCCTCCTCATGCCTCCTCCCAGACAATATCCCCTATACTTTTGACTAATAATCATTATCTGGAAGTGCTAGGGGCTTAGAAGGAGCTTAAGCAAAAAATGCTTAAAACTAAGGGAAAAACCGGGCCAAGAGCTACTTCCTCCCAAACAGCAGGACCCAGGCACCACCTCCGAGAAGGCAGCCCATCTCCCTCTCCAGTGAGACAGCAGAGGATCAAGTTGCCTATTTTTCTCCCTCTCACACTCAGCAGACACTGGGGTGTTCGCAGGCCTTCAATAAAGAGTTGTTGAATTGAGTGGATTCTGATGACAAGGCCACTGAATGGGCCCTGAGGACAGGGAAGAAACAAAAAGTGGTCTGGAGGGAACTTTGAACTCTTAACTTTGGAATGTGCAATGCCAAACTGTTGTCCCCACCAAAGTCAGATTCATTCAAGTTTCTTTTTGTTTGTCTGTTTGTTTTTGAGACAAAGTCTCACTCTGTCACCCAGGCTGGAGGGCAGCGGCACAATCTCAGCTCACTACAACCTCTGCCTCTGGGGTTCAAGCGATCCGCCTGCCTTAGCTCCCCGAGTAGCTGGGGTTACAGGTGTGTACCACCATGTCTGGCTAATTTTTGTATTTTTAGTAGAGATAGGGTTTTGTCTTGTTGGCCAGGCTGGTCTTAAACTCCTGATCTCAGGTGATCTGCCTGCCTTGGTCTCCCAAAGTGCTGGGATTACAGGCTTGAGCCACCGCGTCCGGCCAAGTTTCTCTTTTTAAGAAGGTAGCAATGGAAGGAATATTATGCCTCCAGGTAATGCTGGATTTCAAAATGAAGCTGTGATGTAAAAAAGGGGATGTGCAAACAAACAGCTGAGATCACAATGAGCAATTAGCTGATATCAGCTTCTACACCATGCAACAAATAAAAAATTCAGAAATCCCATTGGAGACATTGTTCACCTCCCTTGGGCCGTAACAGGCGCTGAAAACTGAGCCTTAAAGGAGCAGCCTGGCCTCATGGCTAAGTGAAAAGGCTCTGTGGCCAGACTGCTTGGGCCTACCACTGAGTAGCCCCAAATGTTCCCAACTTCTCTTTGATGACAAGTAACCCCTGTATACAGGGAAAATCTACAGCTTCCAGGCACCTTCCTGGAGGCTTAGAACCCGCAGGAATAGGATGAGGCCTGGGCATGGGAACTTTCAACAAACAGCCCAGACAATTTTTATAAGGAGGAAACTGCAAAATATTGTTACCGTGGGTAAGTTACCAAACTCTCCTAGGTCTGTTTCATCATCTGTAAAATGGAGGTAATAATAGTAAAGACCTCACAGAGTTGTCTAGAGATCTGAATAAAGTGATATACATAAACAGCTTAGATCAGGGTCCAGAGCATAATAAGCATTCAATGTTAACGGCTATAACTTACTCTGATTATTTTTTCTTTTAAAAAAATGTAAGTGTACCCATGTTTATAGCAGCATTATTCACAAGAACCAAAAAGTGGGGCCAACCCAAGTGTGCCTTGATGGATGAATGGATAAGCGCAATGTGGTATATGTGTACAATGCAATATTATTCAGCTTTAAAAGGGAAGGACATCCCGTCACATGCTACAGCATGGAAGAACCTTGAGGACATTATGCTAAGTGAAGTAAACCACTCACAAAAGGACAAATACTGTAGGATCCTACTTATGTGACATACCTGGACTAGTAAAATTTATAGATGGAAAATAGAATGGTGGTTGCCAGAGGCTAGGGAGAGGGGATAGGGAGTTATTGTTTAATGGGTATAGTTTTAGTTTTGCAAGATGAAAAAATTCTGGAAATTGGCTGCAAAACAATATACTTAACATTACTGAACTGTAAACTTAAAAATGGCTAGGATGAAATATTATTATGTACGTTTTATCACAATTTTAAAAATATTTAAACAAGAATGCAGCTTATCTAAAATTTAGGGTTTTCTCTAAAGTAGTGTTCTTCAACCTGATTGTACATTAGAATCACCTGGGGATTTTTTTAAAGCAGGAAAAATATTTATTATAGGGTATTAAATAGCCTACTGAATCGAGAGAGTTAAAGAAATAGCCTCAAAGCCAAACACTTGGGGAGCTTCTAAAACAACCATACTAATGCCTGGGTCTTCCCCAGCTTAATTAAATCAGAATGTCTGGGGGTGGGATCTGGCCATGGGTGTTCTTCTACAAGATCCTCAGGTGCAACCTCTGTGGCTGTGGAGCACTGCTCTAAGGAACAAGGCTCTCTCCATCTCAGACCAATATGAGAAAGCATTTTTTTGAAGCATTCTCTCATCTGTTTCTGGGCCACCCCTTTTCAGACTCCCTTTCCTTTCTACTTGCAGTAAACAACCTTCACAGATGGGGGCGCTGCTTAGCTTTTCGGAAGCTTAGCCTGGTAGCAGTTTTCCAAACATTTCCTCAAAGCAAGGTTTCCACAGGTAGCACATCCCTGTTCAATACAATCAGGCGCTTCCTGTAGATCCACTAATACCTAACAAAAACAAAATTTAAATCCTTTTAAATATATATAATTGCTTTCTGGTAATCTTTCTTGTAAAGAGTGAATTGGAAAAGCTGCACGGAGGTTATATATTACTGCAAGAATGACGTTCTAGCTCAGTGGTTCTCAAAGTGTGGCCCCGAGCAAGTAGCATCAGCATTGCCTGGGAACCGGTTCAAATGCACATTCCAAGCCCACTGAATCAAAAACTCAAGCGGGTGATGCCTAAACAGAGGGCTTGCTAAAATGAGCTTGCAGGACCTGGCCTCCAGAGATTCTGATTCCACTGGTCTGGATGGGCTGACAATATGCATTTCTAACAAGTTCTCAGGTGATGCTGACGTTGGTCCAGAGACCGCACTTTGAGAACCGTTGTCCTAGTCGACAGAAAAGCTGGATGAAATCTTTAATTTTCTACCTTTTTTTTTCTTTGGAGATGGAGTTTTGCTCTTGTTGCCCAGGCTGGAGTGCAATGGCGCAATCTCAGCTCACTGCAACCTCTGCCTTCTGGGTTCAAGTGATTCTCCTGCCTCAGTCTCCCGAGGAGCTGGGATTACAGGCGCCCGCCACCATGCTGGGCTAATTTTTGTATTCTTAGTAGAGACGGGGTTTCACCAGGTTGGCCAGGCTGGTCTAAAACTCCTGACCTCATGATCCACCCACCTCGGCCTTCCAAAGTGCTGGGATTACAGGCGAGAGCCACCGCGCCCAGCCTCT